AAAAAGAAGATTTTTTTTTTKTTKTTGTTGTTCCAGGGGTCAATGTGTGGAGCCTCCAGGTGGTTCCCAGAATGACACTCCGGGCCTTCCCAAATAAAACCCGGCTTTATTTGGCTGTTTAAAAAAAAAATAATGAGGAATAAAGGGTTTTGGGATGGAAACAGCAGAATATGTGAGCTGGAGGTGTTGCTGGATATGTCCAGGAGTTTTCCAGAGCAAAACTTCCTGGTGGTGTCACTGTCCAGCTCAAATGACACCTTTCCAAGGGGAAATCGAGTCTTTTTGGGTTTTAATGAAACATTTCAATAAGGAGGAGGAATTGTCACAGGAAATTACTTCCAGGCCTCGGGGTTGAGCTCAGAAATACGAAAAAAAATCTGTTTATTTTCTTTAATTATTCCAAAGTGGATGTAGCAGCTTCACTTAGATTGGGAGTGATTCTTGAGGAGGAAAAGCTGGTGAACAGTGAAAAATTGGGGGTTAAAATATTTAGTTCCTGGTGCTTTTCCTTCTTTGTCACCTGATAAATGGGGGGTGAATCATCAAATGTCGTTGTGAGGAATGAAAGGCACGAACAGAGCAGCAGGAGAAGCTTTTCCAGGGARATCTGAGGGCTTCAAACTGGAGAATTCCTCACAGGGAGGTGCAGGAAAACTTCTCCAAGGTGTTTTTATTTATTTTCCCTTTAAAAACATGAAGTTGATGGTTTTTTTTCTGGCCTGGTTTTTCCCGACCCTCAGCATTTTGATTTTATTTTTTTGCAAAAAATTTATTTTTTAAAAAAATTTTAGTACAGAATTTTTAACAGAGTTCTGGCCACAAAAGTGTTTAAAATTCTCATTAATTTTAATTAATTAGAGACCTGCTGAGTGCACCAGAGTTACTCATTTTTATTCAGTTTTTCATTTTTTTTTGATTGTCACCTTGACCCCAGTTTAAAATGAAAAAAAAGAAAGAAAAAGTTTTTAATGGACCTTTTTTATTATTAAATTACCTTGATGGAGTTTAGAATTTTAAGGGGTTTTCATTGGGGGTTTTTATGGGGTTTTTGGTTGGTTTTGTTGTTGTTATTTGTTTTAAAGGTTTTATGTATTCCCACTCTTGTACTCTGACTAGGAATGCAGAAAAAATGGGAAAAAATATGGAATGTGGAAAGCAAAACTGATTTAGTTTATAAAGGAATTAAATCTGAAAGGATTTTCTTTCCCCCCAGGGTGGTGGATTTAGGAATGTTGCATTTTAGGTGTGTCTGACTGCCTGAGGAAAGGAAATGCCACTTTCCAGACCGGGAATTCCTCCTGATTTGAGTTTGAATTCCTGCTCTCAGCCAGGAATGGTCCCTAATTCCCACGGATTTTAAGTGTTGGCTCCAGCAAACTGAAGAATTTGGGCTTGAAATTTAATTTTAGCTCCCAAGAATGTTGGTAGAACATCTGGAAAAGCRTTGAACTTCCACAAGAAGGAGCTCCAGGAATTTTTAGGAGTAGATCCCCAGGAATCTCCATGACCCAAATCTGGTTTTTGAAGGTCTAAAAGTGAATTAAMCCCGTGGAGGAGGAAGAAGGGGAGGAAACCCTGCACTTAATTCCTGTTTTATTCCCTTTGTCAAGCAGTCCAGAAAACAAAGCACTAATACGAGAACCCAACTTTTCCTCTCTTTATTTTAGATTTGGGAAAATTCCCTGCCAAAAAAAAAAAAAATCCTGGGAAAATTCACTAGTGTTTGTGTGAGTAAAAGGTTCCAACCATTTCTTCTTAACCTGTAAAGAACAATTTCATTCGGTTTTGTCCCTCCCAAAGAGCCAGAAATCCTTTGCACAGAGACGTGAGAGGGGGGTAAATTTACTTTTATTTGGATTTTAACCAGTCTGGTTGCAGGTTGTATGAAAAAGAAATCCAAAAATCTGATTTTGATAAGAATATCGAAATTAAATGAGTGATTTTACATTAAAAAAGAAGTTTGTGGTGGCATCAAAAAAGCATTTCAGCTGCTGAATTGAATCCAAGCCATTGGCTAATGATGGATAAATGGATTAGGAAACAGCAAGTGATGGCAAATTTATAATATTTGATGAAAAACCGAAGAATCCTTAACCCCAATTCCCAATCCGTGGTTTCATGCAGCCATGCCTCTCCCACCAAAACCATTCCCTGCTTCCCTGAGCTGCTCCCTCCTCCCTGCTTTCCCTTCCCCATGAGGGCAGAGCCGTTCCCGTGGGATGGATGGATGTGGATGGATGTGTTTGTCCCGTGTCCAGCTGTGTCCCCAAATTCCTGTCACGTCATCACCTTGATGCCATCTCATTGAAAATTACGGAAAGATCTCATTTTTCCACCCCAATGAGAGACTTTGCCTGCAGTTTGGTGTGGGAAATGGGCCCAAATCGTTGATTTTTGCTGTTTTTCTCCCTGACTTTGCTGTCCYTCCCTCTTTTGGGGTGTGTATAAACACATTTGGGGGTTTATACACACAAACCTCGGGAGGTTTTGCTGGATGGGTCGTAAAGACGGGGGAAGGTTTTTGTGTTTTCTTAATAGGTGAAGAAATCACGGAAGACCCGAAATTGCAACTTACTGAATGTTAAATTATTAAAAAAATTGTTAAATTAAAAAAAAAAAAAAAAAATTAAAAAAAAAAAAAATTAGAAATTCCCCAGCTGTGGAAGATGGAGCCTCATTTTTGCAGCCACTTTGAATCCCGAGTTCATCTTTAAAAAGGCGCTGGGGATTTTTTTTTCTGTTATTTTTTTTTATGGTTATTTTTGGTTTTTTTTATGGAAGAGCTAAAATATCCCTGGCTGTCTCCAGTGTGACAGTATTCCAATGGACTTGCTTCCTCCATTAGTTGTCAGATTTRTTTTGAGAGCACCTCAGAGTTTGGAATTGTTGGCTGAGAGGTTCCCTTGGCAATGTGAGGAGGAAAATTCTTTCTGCCCCTTTGTTATTCATTCACGGACTCCTTCGGCCTACAGGAGAAGGGAACTGCATGGCTGGGAAGATCAAAGCCTGGGCTGAAGGTGGCCAGGTGGGTGAGCTCCAAAATCSTCTGAGATTGGGGAAAAAAGTGGGATTTTGTGCTTGGATTTTGTAGAAATTACTGGTGCGTTGTTAAAATTGGTTAATCRCAATATTTCCAATTAATGTTGTCATCAAAATACATTATTAGAGATTGGAGTTAAGTTATTCTATTATTGAGCTGGGATGGCATTTATCTGTGATTATTATTAATTTCTAATCATTAAAGGTTTTTTTTTCAGATGTGAAACAATAGATTTTAATAATAATACAGTGGKAAATAATACATGATARTAATAAAATAYTGCCATGTYATTGATAACTCAAAATKACRCCCACTTTTTGAAGAAATTGRGTCACACCCTRAAATTAAAGTTGATTTTAAATGGGAAAGAATATATTAATGATATGTGTGAAATAATGCGTTATAATAATATAATATCAAAGTTTAATTTCAAATGTGAAATAACGTATTAATAATAATAGTATGAAATAATATGTGATAATAACAATGTTATCATGTCATTGATAACTCAGAATGACACCCAGCTTTTAAAGAAATTAGGTCACTTTTGGGTCACACCCTAAAATTAAAGTTTTATTTCAAATGTGAAATAATAGATTATACTAATGATACAGTGTGAAATAATATATTACAATAATATCATATCATCTATAATTGATAACTCAAAATTACACCAATTTTTAAGTAAGGGCTCTCTTATGGGTCGCACCCTAATTTTTTTCTACCTCAAGACACTGAATTGTTATTAAGGTCACAGAATAGAATTTTTGGTGACAAAATTCCATTTTTTAGACAAATTTGA